TATATATATATATATATATATATATATATATATATATATATATATATAAAATCTCTCTGTGTGTGTGTGTGAGATTGTGTGTGAGATTGTGTGTGTATACACCCACACACCCACGTAAACAGTTTCAGTTTGGTAAAGAAGAAAACTGCCTAAATAGTACAACTAAATGTAAAGCTATACTTTGAAAGTCCCATGCAAGAAAATATTTTTTAAATACCTCTAGTCTAAATACCAGTAATTTCAACTTATCAAAACTCTCTTTAGTGCAAAACCTGAAATCAGCTGTTTCCCCTCAAACTGCTTTCAAATTATACAACCTAAAAACACTGGAATGAGAACCTCAAATAGTGGACTGATATAGGGCATCATATCTCACACACAAACATGGGGAATAAACACGGCTGAATGCAGTGGCAATCGCTATCAGTAAACATTTACAGAATCAGGCTACATTGTTAAATTGTTGCTGAAATGCAATCTAAACAACTAAAAACTGACAAACCACACAAGTTTGTCCTGTTTAAACAAACATTTGATAAGTACAGCAGGACGGACTCCTGGATATGTACTGACTGCACAGTGTAAAATACTGCTTTGCCTTTTCCGTAGGACAAAATTCACACTATAACAATAGGCCACCCGGTTCTCTTCCATAACTGCTTTGTTTCCAAACTGCTTGGCCAAAACTAACTTGAAGCTGGAACAGCCGAAGGCCTAGGAAGAGAAGAAAACAGCCTCCTGTTGCTGCTTCCTTACGGACCAAAGCATAATTTTTTTAAAAAAAGTTATATAAGTGAAGCCCAGAAAGAAAAACCTTTTATTTTTTTCCCCAGTCCCCTTCATTTAGGGGAGAGGGGATAAACTCAAGAGCACCTCTTTTTTTGCCTTGTTAATCCCAAACATTACTTGAGTCAAAAATAAATCCCAATTATACATCCTACCAAGCGACACAGCTTTGAATGAAGGGCAACAAAAATGTTTTAATTGTTAAGAGGCCACCCCATCCAGCCCCAAAGCTTAACTGATGACACACAAAACACCCCCCCCCCAAACAGATAAAACTTTACCCTAAGAGCTTTGGGCAGAAGACACGTACTCCATTTCCTGCATATACGACTCCTGTACAAGTTAATTAGGCATCACCTACCCGCCTTCCCCATCCTAGTTATTTTCCCTTGTCTTACTTTCCTCTCCCCCCCCCTCCACCCCACAATCCCACTTTCCTTTCAAAACCACGATGGAGTTGGATGAAGCCAGGGAAAGCCCCCCTCCCACTCAAGAAATCACCAAGCTGCCTTCCTGGCTGTTTGGAAATAAGTCTCTAAAAGGCCAACCAAGCGTTTCTCCTCCCTTCCCCCAAAGAAAAGCGACGGGGGAGGGAGGAAAAAAAATAAAATAAAGCCAAGACGCGGTTGGGGAGTCTAGGGAACACCCCCCCTTTCTTTCCTTAGGGTCGTTTGAACAGAGCAGCCGCCGCCTCCCCTTGTCCCCAAAGAAGCGGCTCGCCTTTCTCTCCCCCTTCCTGGAACAACAATAGAGGCCTTGCTCGGACTCGAAAACATGTACCAGGAACAAGCGCGAGGAAGAGCCTCGGCAAGAATTGCCCGCCCAGGGCCGCCTTTCGGAGGGCCCTCGCCGCCTCGGCCGAAGCCCTAGCCCCAATACGGCTTCGCCGTCGGGCTTCCTGGGCTCCGGAGTCCCGTTCTAACCCGCTTCGGTCCGGATACTCACGGGCGGAACGGTAGGATGAAGACGGATCTCAACGGCCCCCCCCTCCCCCCGGCCTCTAGCTTTGCCTGCCGCTCCCCCTGCCTTTCACTTCAACAACATGGCGGCGCACTGGGGACTCGGGGAGGCGCGCTGCATTCTGGGAAGTTGAGGCTGGAGCGTGGAGAAGCTCCGGCGCCGCGGAGTTTCGCCCAACGGCGTGGCGGCGGGATCCGGGGAAGCGAGGAAGAAAGGGAAGGGGAAAAGGGGCAGGGTTTGTTTGTTCCCCACCCAAGAGAGAAAGTTGCATTGGGTCTCCGTGCATTCTTCGCACGGGCAATAAAATGCCCATTGGGCGCTTTGCCAAGAAATGATTGAATTGGTTGTTTGGAGGGGGGGTGGGCTGTGTGAATGACCGATTGGAGTTAACAGACGCGGGTTAAACAGGAACGCTGCATTCACAAATGCAGTGGTGATCCAGCGTAGGAGGGGTGGGGGGTTGGGGTGGGGAAGCTGATCCCCTATTTCAAACAATACTTATTTTATTTATTCATTGTATTCATTTATTTAGTTTGTCACTCATGTACAAGATAACAGGAATGAGAATAAACAAGAATAAAGGACGTAGGGAATGGGTGCAAATAAATGGGGACAGTAGGACAGGGAAGGTAGGCACGCTGGTGCGCTTATGCACGCCCCCTTTACGGACCTCTTAGGAATGGGGTGAGGCCAATAGTAGACAGTTTAAGGTTAAAGTTATGGAGGGGGGGGGGTGAGGATGTAACAACAGAGTCAGGTAGTGCAAGCTAGGCATTGACCACTCTTGTTGAAGTCCTATTTTCTGCAATGGAGTTACACCTTGGCTGCGCTCCCGCCACGCGCTGCAAACGAAATCCGCCCGCCGTCGGTGGGTCCGAGTACCCAGGGTCAACGAAAAGAAAGGACACGGAGTGGGCAAGCTGGCTCGACAGACAGAAACCCAGAGAGGGTAAACGGCGCTCTCTGCCCGCAAGATATGGGCAAGGCTTGGAAGCTTTGATGAATAATAATTGCATTTTCGGGGTGGGGGGGGGAGAGTTTCACTCGGTGTTTTTTTGTTTTTTTCCAAACGTGGCAACTTTTATAGATGTGTGTGCTTCAAGTTGCAGAATTCCCCCAGTTAGCATCCTGGTTTAAAATGCAAATAGTATAGGTCAAGCAGGGTGGGTGCATTCAGGCTCAGGACTTAACCAGCAGACCTAGGAACAGATATTTGTATATAGAAATTGTGTGTGTGTGTGTGTCTGTGTGTGTAAAGTTTTTTTTTTAATATGAACATTCCATCTTCCTTTAAACAGTGTGTCGTCTGGGTACAAATATCTCTGTACAATAACCATCACAATTTACAACATCATTCAGGTTAGTATTGATTCTCTAATCTTAAAATTATAATATCTTAAACAGTTGAACATAGTGAAACTTTTTCATGTTTCGCTCCTAACGTATCTTCTAATGAAAATGCAATAATATTTAATATAGCAATCCTTATCATAATACTAACAATTATCATTATTTAGATCTCTCTTAACATATTTTATGTTCGTTCATCTCCTTTTATTTCCATCTTTCTTATTCTCTAACCGTTGATAAAATGACTCCCATATTATATAATATTCATTGTGTTCTTTCTCTTTAATTGCCAGTGTTAAGCTGCACAATCTACTATTTTCCTAATCGCCTCGTCAGTATGGATTTCTTCACCCCCCCAAAAAAAGTATATAGAAATTGTTGATGGCCTGGGTGGTTTCCCAAGTTGTGGGGACAGTAATTCACAAGTTGGGGTCCTGTTCTTCCAGTCAGTTGTGACCTTTGTATACATATAGTTTTGTGTTTGAAACCTGCACAGCATCGTGAAGGAATTAGGCAGCGTTGACATTTGATGACATAAATACATCAACCCTAACAAGTTGGCTACCGCCACATGACATATAAAAATTAAACCAAGCTTACTCTTTTGCCCAAATGCAGCTGCTTGGCTTATAACAGGTTATAATAAACTTAGTTAAGGGTATCGTGTGACCCGAGCCATACCTAATGGAAAACACTAGCTATTTTATTGGAACGAAAACTTCTCCAACTTCTCTCCTTGCTTATTAATAGAATAGAATAGAATTCTTTATTGGCCAAGTGTGATTGGACACACGAGGAATTTGTCTTGGTGCATATGCTCTCAGTGTACATAAGGAGAATAAAATACATTCATCAAGAATAAAAAGATATAACAGTGATAGTCAAGGTTACTAATAAGCTATCAAAACATACTAGGAAACAAAAACAGTATAAATTGAAAGATACAAGCAACATGGTTATAGTAATAAGTTGGAAGAGATACTAGGAAGGAAGAGAAGAATAATAGTAATGCAGACTTCGTAAATAGTTTGACAGTGGTGAGGGAATTATTTGTTTAGCAGAGTGATGGCATTTGGGGAAAAACTGTGTCTAGTTGTTCTGGTGTGCAGTGCCCTATAGCTTCATTTTGAGGGTAGAAGTTGAAACAATTTATGTCCAGGATGTGAGGGGCCTATAGATATTTCCACACGCCTCTTTTTGATTCGTACAGTATACAGTATGGAACGTAGGTTGGTAGCCATTGTTTTTCCTGCAGTTCTAATTATCCGTTGAAGTCTGTGTCTGTCTTGTTGGGTTGCAGAGCCAAACTAGACAGTTATAGAGGTGCAGATGACAGACTCAACCATTCATCTATAGAAAAGAATCAGCAGCTCTTTGGGTAGTTTGAGCTTTCTGATTTCGCACAAAAAGAACATTCTTGGTTGCGCATTTTAAATGTCCATTCACAGAGGAAGGGGGAGGATTCAGAATGCAAATGCCATATCTGAATCCCAAGTTCTGCCAGCTGTTTTCCCAATTGAACTCCATGATTGATCAGAGCTAGAGAACATCTTC